TGCCATAACACGATTTCAAAGTAAAATAAATGTGACATTTGCAATCAGTGTCAAAAACTATATTAAGTCAAACACATTTTAGAGAAAATTTTTTTCCTAGGAAAAATTCACCTGTGGTTTCCCTACGGCTGTATTTTATTAAAATTTTGTCCCATGAGCCATCAGTGGTCAGTTTTTCGTAAAAGAAAGAATATCTTCAACGCTGATTGCAAGTGTCGCATTTATTTTGCTTTGAAATTGTGTTATGACAATAAAAACTGCTGGAAATGTTTTTTTTTTTCTATTGAAAAATCATTAAGTAAGAGAGAGAGAGGTGTGAACATTGCTTCACAGAGAATAAAAAGTTGTATGACATATGTAAAACTCAGTCTAGTTTTATTGCTTATTTACCGAAAAGTACGTTTTGCTGGGTCTCCACGTAAACAATATGCATCACCATGTTTACGTTGTGTTCTTAAACTACCATCTCTACCAATAACAAGAATTGTTGTATCATGTGATTTTAATGGAATAACAGCATGATTATTAAGACCACCATCACTAGGAAATCCAGGTGCATATATTTGATGCCATGTTGTATTAACTACATCAAATACATATATATCAGATTTTCTTTTTGATCCATCCCATCCACCAATAGTAATAATATATTCACCATTTCCCATAACAATACATCGATGATAAGAAAGTGTAGGAGAATCTTCTGTTGTTATTTCTGTCCATATATTATTTTGAAATTTAAACATTCGATTTGATGGTGAATGATCACCACGTGTTTTAACTCCACCATGAATATAGAAAATATCATTAATAACACAACTACCGAAAAAAGCTACAGATGGACCTTGCGCAATAACAGTTGCTTGTAAATGAGATGTACTGATAGAAGTATCCATTGATAGACGACGAGAATTAAATATTGTACTATTAGTAACATCATTATCAATGGAACTAGTTCGACGATTTGTTGTATTTGTAGTTCTAGTAAATCCAAGATCATGTGATGCTCGACGATTGGAAGAAGCCATTTGTGATTGAGAAAATGGATAGAATATAAGTGGGCATTCTGCTTCAAATCGCTTAGTTACAAGCTTCTCTTTCTTATTTTCAAACAATAGATGGTGCTATTAGATATGACCAAAAATTATAGTAGATGATCTTAATGAAGAATTACTATTTTTAACTTTATAATTCAAACATTTTCTAAAATATCAGCATTAAAACAACGTTTATTTATTATAAACATTTTACAATATTTTTAAATAACTATAATAATAGTCATTTAAAGAGTTTGTGCTGAATATAAATGATTCGGTACAGATTTACTCGAAAGACTAATAGACAAAATATTCTGGTTCTTCATTTCAAACGAGAAAAATAATTACAATTGATTAAATTTTAGAAATAATTCTCCTTAGAATAGAAGATCTATCGTATTTTAAAGATAAACTAGTTAATAAATCAATAGCAGAATAGCAAATAGAAAATCTATGTGAAAACGTCGTATTTATTTCAAAACATAAAATCTATAATACGTTGAGAAATATTTGGTTATTTATTTTTCTATTTCATATTTAAGAATAAGAAGTAATTTATTCCATTAACCATCCAGAAATTGAAAATTCAATCCATTCCAACTTAACAGGTCCAACTACTAGTAAATTCTACTTGATTCTCTTGAATTTTGAAGCTTTCAAGAAATTCTAGAAAATTAAGGTATTTAACAATAAGAGAGAGCTTAAAACACTGTTACGCGCAAATTATTTGACATAAGAAGGTATTAATATCATGTCACATATCTACGATTATCACTCGACCATGCATCATATGATTTTTGACTAAATAATTATATCAAGGGTAATTTACCTCATCAAATATATGAAAACTCATTAGTTCGTGCGATTTTCATGATAGTTAAAAATATTCTGGAAAAAGAGAAGTTTAAAAAAAACGTTGTACAAATTGTTAGAAAAAAAAGAACTTTGTATGAATAATTACGGCGATTATTTTGAACATTTAATAAAATAAAATGAAAAATATCTCTCCCAAGTCGATCCCTATAATGTTACCGTGAATGACCGCTTTTATATCGTATCGTATTGTTATAATACGTCCAGTACTACTAACAATATTCTCAACGTAAAAATGTCGTAAAGTGCGCGCAATTCAAAATTACAGTAAATTTTTTTTTCGCGATATTTATGCATGGTTGAATAGAGCGCAATGTCTTACCTAGGAAAAAGTGGTTCTTTAGTTTTAAAAACGATTTTTGCCAAAAAAAATTTTTCGACAATCAAATTTTCAAAAACGCCTATTTTTAAGCGGTAAATAGGCAAGGAAATTTTTTTACGTTGATTTTAACCTTTACTGATGCTGTTTTTCTGATTTGCGACATGGATTTGTCTATAAAAATCAATGTTAACATAGATTTTTATAGACAAATCCATATCGCAAATCAGAAAAAAAGCATCAGTAGAGGTTGAAACCAACGTAAATAGATTTTATTGCCGATTTACCGCTTAAAAAGCGCAAAAATAGGCCTTTTTGAAAATTTGATTGCCGAAATTTTCTTTTGGAAAAAATCGTTTTTAAAACTAAAGAATCACTTTTTCCTAGGTAAGACATTGCGTTCTATCCAATCATGCATAAATATCGCGAAAACAAAAAATTTACTGTAATTTTGAATTGCGCGCATCTTACATACAATCGAATTACTGACTCTGTATTTACGAAGAAGTACGGCTCTGTCAACATGTTGTATTTCACCGTATATGGATCGACTTGTTTAATCCGGGCTTGATTTTTATACTTTTATTTATTATTATCAGAACTTTTGATCAAATCTAAGTATGACAAACTTTAATTTCTCTATTTTTCATAGGAATTTTATGATATTATAACCAAATTCTTTGATTATCAAATAAATTCTAACGTTCATCAATAATATAAATCATTGAAAATTGCAAAAACTTGTTACATAAGACTTTCTTTGAATGAAAGCACATTTATAGATAATAAAGTACAGACAGACAAACCAACGAAAAAAAAAAAATAATAATAACAACAACATCAACAACAAACAACATTGACTAAAAATACTTTTTCAATTTGATTTCATCAAAAAGCCGTAGTTCCATTCCATCCATTAAGAAAATACTGTTGACTATCGACAATAACTGATGTATGATGATATGGATGTTCAGTTTGATAATTTGTTGATACATAACAATTATTTGCTGATGAATATAAATCAAGTTTTTCGGACGGAAGATTTGTTTCATAATCAATTAATGATAAATGATGATGATGTTCATTATCAAGACGTATTCGTTTATTATTAATATCATAAGATGATATTCGTTTTTGATCATAATACATTGATTCATTAAGATTATTAAATGAATTTGAATAATTATTTGTTCCTGCTGTATAAAGTGAAAAATTTGAATAATTTGTTTGTGTATTATAAGAATAATAATGTTCATCTGTATTATTACATATTGTTGATGGATAATCATCAATTATTGTTTGATGTAAATCAGTTCTTATTGGTGATAATTTACGTTGTTTTATTAAACGAGTTGTTTTTAATATTTTTGATGAACTACGATTTGATGATGATGATGATGATGATGCAGAATTTAAACTTGTATTTGTTGATGAACATTTTTCATTATCAATTGAATTAACTATTAATGTTTGATTTGAACGAATATAATCCGATGATGAATTTTCAAGTTGATCTATTGATAATTGTAAATGTTTAGCTTCAACATCACTAAAAAAAAAAAAAGAACAAACATTTCAAATAGATTAAAAAAAAAATAATCAGATTTATACCTTAATGCATAATTTATACTAACAATAACTTCAGGTCGAGATGATCGATTGTTATGAACAAGTGTTGCATAACTTTGCACTAAAATTAACAATAAAAAAAAGAAAAAGTTCAATTAGTAAAAATGTCAAAGAACTTACTCCATATCCAACCACCATTTTTAGCAAGAAAACGATAATAACGAGTTGTCACTTGTCCTTTTGAAAGTACTAAACATAAAAATAGACATTTAGATTTCATTCATTGAAAAATTTCAATCGTCAATCAATGCATCGATTCACATCGCTAATTCAAACTCCCTTAGTCGTACAAATATAGATCGTTAACAAAACTTTGCAGTTCTAGATAAAAGTAGCTGCCACTAGAGCCCATCGGGTTAGTCACAGATCCGAATTCGATGGATGCATGCGTGCGAAAATAAATTTCGATTGCAAAGTACCAAGTCGTTCTCCATTGATTCACATGTTATAATTCATACATATTCAGCAGAAACATGCATAGAAAAAATTGTTGTTTGTTATTTTACTATTCTACAAGCTGCTATTGGCTTTTTTTCTAATCCTAAAGATCTAATATAGTATTACTACTAAAACACGTCAAAATTTTAGTAATTCGCATGCCCTGAAATAAAATCGAGTTCATTCAATGCTGTGATTATAAAATTTTCAAATGAATTGTTTAAAGTCATTATGGAAAAGTTCTATCTTACTAAAAAAATAGTCAGCATTTATTCTTCAATAGACATTCTTAATGAGAATACAATATCTCACGAAGGAACCTATCCAACTGTCGGAACGATTTTGAGTCGGGACTTAGCGCAT